CCCTCACATTGGCAGCTGTCCTTCCTCCTCAGGAATGACAAATGTGCTTGTTTTTTAAAAATATATTTTACTGATTTCAGAGAGGAAGGGAGAGGGAGAGAGCGATAGAAACATCGATGATGAGAGAGAATCATGGACCAGCTGCCTCCTGCACGTCCCCCACTGGGGATCGAGCCCGCAATCCGGGCAGGTGCTCTGACCGGGAATCGAACCAGTGACCTCCTGGTTCATAAGTTGATGTTCAACCACTGAGCCACGTTGGCCGGGCCGTCTTGTTTTGTCTGTAACCACATTTTAGCTCCTGTGAAGGTGACTTCACTGACCGGAAACCAAATGCTGTTATTTTGTGTTACCCCGCGCCCAGGGGTGGCGGGACGCCGTGAGGCTCTGCCGCAGGCGCAGGTGCCTGTGGGCGGTCAGTCCGTTCATTTCCCTCTGTTGGTGCCCAGCCCTGGTGCCCTCAGCCAGGAGAGAAGGTTCCAGGCTCCTTGCAGGGCCCCTGCCCCTGGGCTGGGTCTGTGCCGCCTGCCCGTCTCCGGCCCTCTCATCCGCGGGTCTCGCCTCCCTCCAGGCCACAGGCAAAATGGACGAGAACCAGTTTGTGGCGGTCACCAGCACCAACGCGGCCAAGATCTTCAACCTGTACCCCAGGAAAGGGCGGATCGCCGTGGGCTCAGACGCCGACGTGGTCATCTGGGACCCCGACAGGGTGAAGACCATCACGGCCAAGAGCCACAAGTCGGTGAGTCCTGGTTCCCCAGACACTCCTGGCCGGGCCAGCGAGTCGTGTCCCGCAGTCACTGAGGGGCCTCTGGGTAGAAATGACATGCGAGGCTTCCGCCAGGGTGTGATCTGCTTGTCTGCCTGACTCAGCCGCTCACATCCTCCTCCTGGGGGGACGGGGTCTGGGCAGCTGGGCTCGCGCTGTTAGGAGCACGGCCAGCTGTTCCTTCCTGCCCCAACGCCCCCCCCCCCATCTCTGGCTCTCGCTCAGAGAGGCCAGGACGGCGAGTGCAGGGTCCGAGAACCTTCCTCCCGTTGTGGAGCTGGAGAGCGTTAGGTCTGGTTTAGAAACCTCCTGCTCCGATGCGTGTCCACTGCTGACGGTCAGCAGCAGAGAGGCCTGGGCCTGCAGCCGCCTGTTTGCGCACAGCCCCGGTGGCCGCTCCCGGGTCCCAGGCCCCATGCCCGTGGCGGGCCGTTACCTCTGCGCTTTGTGCCTTACGCGTCCCTGACCTCTCCGTGCATCCGGCAAACCTAAGGGCGTTTATCTGAGAACCTGGTAGATAGAAACGCTTTGTGTTCACTTGAGAACAGAACCGGTCTCACTGGTAATTAACCAGGTGCAAATCCTCAGTCAGATGCTGTTTTCCTTTTAAAATATTTTGTCTAGTTCGCTTTAAGAAAATGTTTTTATTGACTTCACAGAGAGGAAGGAAGAGGGAGAGAGGGATGGAAACATCAATGATGAGAGAGAATCATTGATAGGCTGCCTCCTGCACACCCCACACTGGGGATCGAGCCTGCAACCCGGGCATGTGCCCTGACCGGGAATCAAACCATGAACTCCCGGTTCATAAGTTGATGCTCAGCCACTGCGCCACGCCGGCCGGGCAAGAAAGAATATTTTTTAAAAGACCCAGAAATGTCTGTTCTAGTCAGCGCAGCCATGTGCCTAACCCCAGGGGCCCCTCACATCCATGACGCCTCAGACCACATTAGTTTGATCATAAAAAACCACCCTCCACCCAAATGCCCAATAGCGAGGGGTTGGTCATGCAAATGGAGGAGCACACAGTGGAATATTACACAGCCTTGAAAAGGGTGTCTCCAGAAGAACCCGGGAAGTGCCTGTGATCTGAGGGGGCGTGGAGTCACCGTGGGGGACCATGGGGCCGTGCGGAAGCCGTAAGGCACAGTGTGGTTCTCGCCGGCAGGCCGTGGAGTACAACATCTTCGAGGGCATGGAGTGCCACGGCTCCCCGCTGGTGGTCATCAGCCAGGGCAAGATCGTCTTCGAGGACGGCACCATCAGCGTCAGCAAGGGCATGGGCCGCTTCATCCCCCGGAAGCCTTTCCCCGAGCACCTCTACCAGCGCGTCAGGATCAGGACCAAGGTGCGTGCCCTGGTCCCCGTGTGCGACGCCAGCGGGCGTCACGGCCGAGGGGCCTCCCTGAGCTCGTGTGTCAGTGGAGCTGTGGCACAGTCCTGCCTGCACCTCAGACTGGAGTCACCGCCAACCAGGAGATCCCAGGGCTTTGCTGACTGTAGAGGGGTGTGCACATGTGTGTGTGGAGTGAGCAGGCACCTTGTAGTGTGTATGTGTGTGTGTGTGTGTGTATGCATGTCCCGAGGCGACCTCAGGCCACTCTCCCGCCCACAGGCCTCTGAACAGGAAGGTGTGCGTGCACCTTGCCCATCATTCGCGCTCCCCCTCCCCGTTTAGGTCTCTGGATTGCAAGGGGTCCCCAGGGGCATGTACGACGGCCCCGTGTACGAGGTGCCAGCCACGCCCAAATATGCAACTCCCGCTCCTTCTGCCAAATCCTCGCCTTCCAAACACCAGCCTCCGCCCTTCAGGAACCTGCACCAGTCCAACTTCAGCCTGTCCGGTAAGGGCCGCATCGCGGCGCCCCCCCCACGCGGTTTCCGGGGCCGCGCTCCTATGATCCGGCACACAATGGGGAGGGGACGTGGGAGGCACCCAGCCCTTAGGGGCAGCGAGTGGCGCTGGTGACAGAAGTGACCAGCGGTCTCTTTCAGGTGCCCAGACAGATGACAACAACCCCAGGCGCACGGGCCACCGCATCGTGGCGCCCCCTGGTGGCCGCTGCAACATCACCAGCCTCGGTTGACCACAGAGGAGTGGATGCGCTGGAGTGGAGGATTCTGGGAAAATCATGTCCATTCCTTCCCCCGTCGGTGTGTTCCAAGCCCAGTGTTTCATTTGGTCCTGACGGGGGACACATCGGATGATGCTCTTTCCTTTTGCTGACGTTTAGGAAGACGTGGTACTAGTGTGGTCTGTTTGCTTGGCAATCCCTCGCCCCGCAGGTGTGTGTCCAGCCGTCTGTACCGCCCCTCCCACCTCTGTCCCGGCTCACGGTCCCCGAGTGGTTCCCTTGCACCCTCGTAGCTGTTCTAGGGTAGTTGATGCATGTTGCTAAGTTACGTATGCAAGTCTGTGCGAGCGTCTGACGGCACACGAGGACCGACCGGACGCAAGGTCCGGCCTCGGGCCCTCAGGGTCCCAAACTCCACGCGAAGGTGTTTACTCATCGCCCCCACCTCAGTGGGCACAAGAGAGGAGCCCACGCCCCCCGACCCCCCGGGACCTGTGAGCTCTCGGAAGGCGGGGAGCTTTGAGCAACGTCTGCCATCCACATCCCGTGTCCCGGCCTCCGTGGCGCGTGCCCCTGGCCCTGACGCCTTTCGGTCAGCGTGTCTGTCCTCCCAGCCAGCTCTGGGCGTCGGGCCGCGCCGGACTCACACTCAGAATGGGGGTCCCTCGTCCCCATGCAGGGCCGACGACCGTGGGGGATGCTGCTTCCGGCTGCCCGTGTCCTCGTCCCTCTGAGGAGGCTGACGGGGCAGCCAGATTTTTAACGTTTTGTACAGAGTTTTCCTTTGTAATCACCCCCATTTTTACTTAATAACCGACTTATCGTGGCTCTTATTTCTGAATTCAAAGCTTGTGGAAAATAAAAGGAACGGCCCCTGGCCCGCCTGGGGTGTCGTCTTTGACGCTTTCTCAGAGCTCCGTGCCCCAAGCTGCCCGTGCAGCAGCTGGGGGTCAGGCGGGGGACCTGTGACACCCGCTCCCCCTCGGGCTAAGGAAGCGGCACCGAGGGAGTGAAACGGTTGTCAGTGCCAGAGGGTGGGGGTGAGGCCGCCAGCGCGCTGCCTCTACCGTGACCTCGTCACCCAATCAGACGTCCCAGCTGGGAGCCCGCTGCCCGAAGGCCTCAGTGCGGGACCCACGGGACGAAAATAGAAATGATTTCTCTGTGAACCAGGTTCTAAGTGCTGCTCCAAGGAGCTATGTTCCAGACGCTGCAGAATAAGGAGGCGCTTTCTTTGGCCACAAGAGGGCGCTGTTGGCCGACTTGGGGAATCCCGTCTGTCTGCTGACTGGCGGATGCTCTGAGGATGGTTAAACCCCGTCATTCGTGTGGGTCACTTCTTTAAGGAGCCACCCTCCTGCCTGAGAGAGTCTAGTTCGGGTTTTAAGAAATAAACACTCGGGTCATAAACAGTCTAGAATATCCCTGAGACATGGCGCCCAGAGCCCAGAGCCCTCCTTATTCCGGGGATTCGTGGCAGCACTGAGCTCTCCATCGGGGTGGCCTCAGGTCACAGGGGTGCCCCCCGGGGCATCTGAAGTGTCTGCAGACGTTTTTGGTTGTCAAAAACATCTGGCATCTGGTGAGGAGAGGCCAGACGCTGCCAAACACCCTGTAATGCCCAGGACGGCCCCCCAAGAATGGTCTCACCCAACACGACCACGTGCCGAGGTCGAAATCCAGGATTTGGCTGAGAAGAGCCGTTTCCTTCCTCGGGGAAGACCTCTCCTGGGGGGTGGATGAGGGCCGGTCTGGAAGCCTGGGGCCTTCTCACCGTCAACTGGGGAAGCGGTGCCCCCAGGGCAGACACTCCTCCTAGGGAGGGGGTGCAGTCTGCACCTCAGTGTCGGGGTCCGGGGACCCTGAGACTCAGACCCTCGGTGACCAGGCCTTCGCTGCTGGCTGAGCCAGGGCGGGAGTGGGTCCAGGTGAGCTCCCTGTGGCAGCCGGTGGCCACGGTTCCCGGGACAGACAGAGTCCGGGACAGACAGGGTGGAGAAAGCCTCCACCCAGGAAACAGCAGCCACGCCCGGCCTCTCACAAAGCCTCCGAGGCGAGTGAGAGCCTCACGCGGGGCAGGCAGGTGCCGGGCAGCAGGACCCCGGGTGGGAGGCACAGAGCACCGAGGACAGAGACACAGAGACACAACACTCGCAGGCAGCGTCCAGCCCCGGGCGTCTCATTGTCCGAGCAACAGGGTCTGAAACACGCACTGTGTCAGGCACATGAGCATCCATCTCCACCCCCCACACCAGGCCTGTGAGCACGAGGAGCCCCCAGGCGGGCGGTCCCTCCTCAGTCTCACAAGGCGGGGGGCAGGGCAGGCACTCAGACCTCAGGTTCTGCCCCAGGGACAGGCCTTGGACTACAAGTTGCTCCTTCTCTTCAGCAGCTTCCTGGGGTCCTCCCCGGCACCAGCGTCGCCCTCCTGCTGGCTGGGCCTTGGGCTGCGTGAAGCATGGAAGAGAGGCCGCGTCAGAGCTGATGTGCGTCTGGCCAGGCCGACGCACACAGTAGGTGGTCCACGAGGAGCCGGGGCACTAAGCCGGGGACCCTGTGTACCTGAGCGATCCTGAGGGGTGCTCCCCGGAGGCAGGCTCGTCGTTGCTGGGCCCCCCCAGGTCCCCTCGGTCCCGGAGCGCCGGCTTCTTCCGTTTGGTCCTTAGGGGCTTCTCTGTGAAGACACAGGACCCGGGCGGGGCTGTGACCCGGGCATGTGCAGCCTCGGCCTCGCTCCCACCAGCCTGACCTGAGTCTCTCGGGGCCAGGATGCACTCGGGACTCAGTGTCTCACACCCGCTTAACGGGTAAGGGATCGGGCGAGGTGTCCTCCCGAGCCGCACAGCCCCCCGGGGCAGAGTTGGGATTTGAACTCGGGGCCGCCAGGCTCCCTGTGTTTCCCCAGCCGCACCGGGGGTCACTGCGTCAGGCGTTTTATAAACGACGGACCATTTTATAGCCTTTTGATGCCCTGCTCTGCCCAGCGTATCCCCTCCCAGCAGAACATGCAGCATAGAAACGTAATCCTGCCTCCCAACCCTCCACCCAAATGCATTTTGATTAATGTTCTCTCTGTCTTTTTTTTTTACCGGCTGGTGGGAAGGCCCCGAAGCAGCAGGACCCCGAGCACACAGCCCAGGACCCAGACGGTATTTTAAGAAGCCGTGTCTGTCCACACACCTTCCCCGCACTCTCCCGTCAGCGGCTGCCACTGCCAGTGACCCTACTGAATTGTCTCCGGCAGCGGGAGGGTCAATCATCCCCATTTTACAGACGGGGAAACGGAGTCAGAGCTCGGACACAGCTGGTGAGCAGCAGGCCCCGGAAGGGGAATCACTGACCCATGGAGAGCAAGGGGGCCCCCGGGTGTCCTCACGGAGGCTGCTCATTACAGATATGACACGGAGGCCCAGAGAGGGCACGTACGGTTCCCAAGGCCACACAGCCAGGTGTGGGAGACATGGGACTGGACCCCCTCTTCCCAGCCGCCCACGCCTTACCTGGCAGGCCCCGCTTACTCGGAGACGGTTTGCTTTCGGCAAGGGGCACCCGGGCCAAGGCCGCCAGCTCGGCGATGAAGCTCTGCTCGGCTTCCTGAATGCAAGGCGAGAGGATCAGCGGGGCCTCCTCTCAATCCCTCCACCAGGAGGGGCTGACTCGCTGTGGGGTGGTGGGCATGTCCCGCGGGGAGGAGAATCCTCCTGGAAGGGCCCAGGGAGGCCAGGAGCAGGGCAGAGGCACCTGGGGGAGGGAGCTGACATGAGCCAGCTCCTGCCAGGTAGCTGTCCCTCCTCACTCACACCAGCCACGCACCCCCATTCTACAGGTGGGAACACTGAGGTGAGGGGCGCTCAGGGAGGGCCACGGAGGCGGCAGCGGCTGGTCCAGGATCTCGCCCGCTTCTGCCTGACTCCAGTCTCAGTTTGTGCTGCCAGCCCCGTGGTTTAACCACACAGACCTGGGCTCCACGACTTCCTGACTGTGCGACCCTGGCCATGACTCAACCTCTCGGAGCCTCAGTTTCCCCATCTGTAGCTGGGATCCCCACAGGAACCTCCTCCTCGGCTGGAGGGCAACATCAGGTGGCACAGGTGGCACAGGTGGCTCAGCCAGGGACGCCACCACAGACCCTCCGTTACTGAGTGCCCTCTCCATCCTCATCGCTGTCACCGCCATCACTGCCACTCTGGTGGCCTGTGCTCTGCCAGGCCCGACACGCTCACAACTGCCTCCAATATTTGACTGCCTTTAAAGCAGTGGTTCTCAACCTTCCTAATGCCGCGGCCCTTTAATACAGTTCCTCATGTGGTGGTGACCCCCAATTTCATTGTTACAAATTGAACATAATGAAAGCATAGTGATTAATCACAAAAACAATATGTAATCATATCTGTGTTTTCCGATGGTCTTAGGCGACCCCTGTGAAAGGGTCGTTCGACCCCCAAAGGGGTCGAGACCCACAGGTTGAGAACCGCTGCTTTAAAGGCAGCCGATTCGCTTTCTAGCCGCAATTCACAATCACACCGATGAGGATTTTCTGTGCTGAGACGCCCACGTTCGAGCACAAGCGCTGAGCTTCCGGGATGTTCTACATCAAGGACAAGCCTCAGTCCCCAGCAACACTGCCTAAAGGACCGATCAGCCCTGACAGGAGCAGCCCACCTGCTGGCCGACCCCGCCAGGGAGACGCCCCCTGCCCAGGACTGGC